CAGCCCCCCACACAGGGGCGCTTGTCGTAGGCGTTGTTCCTGCAGGCGCCACTCGACGAACATTTCTCAGGAGGGGAAAAAACACACAGACACAATTATTCGTCGACTCCCAGAAAATACAGGAAGATATGGGATTTGGGGGGGAAGACAGGAACCCAGAAAATATAGGAAAATATGGGGAGTCTGTTTATTTGTGTGGATTTATTTGTGTGTCCCAGGGCCCCTTTAATTTCACGCTTTGCGACTTCTGGCTGGGTGGAGCGCGGCCGAATCATCGCCACGCGAGTCTGGGAAAATTATAGCCAGGTTTCGACAGATATTCGGAGGCAGACATGGCTTGCTCTAGCCTCCTCCGGCGAGCTCGGGAGGAGGCGTCTCAGAGGCAAGGAAGATCATGATCACCATCATTACTCTGGGTGTCTTGCAAAGCGTGGGTGGGTACCCCCCCGACGGGGGTCAGTCTCGCCTCGTCGTCCCGCCGCGACGGGGGTCGGAGCGCGTTTGCCGCGCGGTGGCTGCCCGCGACGGGGGTCGATGTGGGGCTGTCGGCGGGGGTGACGCCACGCCGACGCTTATTAAGAAACTCGGAGTATAGTCTTCTGACCAACCAGGCCACTCTGTGAAAGATGGGGAGGACGGGGGGATGCGAAACAATGTCTTTGCGTGGAGGCGAAGCGTGCTCACGCCCGTGATTACCTCTAATAATCAGGACTTCCGCCACCACTGCAGCGGACGGAAACTTTGTATAATGACACAATGGATTTGGCAAGCCACACGCATACACGTATATATATACAGATACATAGATAGGTGTATATATTTGTATAGAAGTCTTTTCATATAGATATGATCATGTATGAATGTACGTGTTAACCTCGCGAAGCTTGAAGGGCACATATGGGCGATAGATATACATATATAGAGAGAGAGAAAGAACAAAAAGAGAGAAGGAGAGATCTGAGGGAATGCAACTAGTATCTGAGCGGCCTTTGTCCAATCCCGTCACCGTGCCCACGTAGTGCGTCAAAGGTGTCTTGGATGCCCGTCGGAGTGTCTGGGGATTTGCTTCGGAAGTTTCTCGGGATGCTTCCCTCTTGGATGCAGCTATATGACCCAAGTGGATGTGCCACTTGGGTCATCTCGATCCCAGTCGTCGTCGATTCCTTGTGCCTGGATCCTGGGTCAGAGGCCCTCTCGGGGGCCTGATGGGGTCTCTCCCTTGCAGATGACTCTTGGGAGCCTCTTGAGGACTCGTGGGGGCCTCTTGTAGACCTCTTGGGAGCCTTTTCGAGTGCCTTGTTGGAGCCTCTTGGAGGCCTCTCGCGGGGGCCTCTTGCGGCCTCCTCTCGAGGGGGGGCCCTCGAGGTTTCTTGGGGGCCTCTTGGCGGTGCTGCTCCAATGGCCTCCGGGCACCTGCCTTCCACCCTCTTAGCCACCGAGGATGCATGCGAGAACGTACGATCAGACAGTTCAGCGAGCTCTCCAGCGAGGTCCCCGTTTTGAAAATGGACCGCGCCGATCTGTGAAACTGCTGCACAGGTTCAGGCTTCTGGGTGTGACAGCAGCCGTCCCTCCGACAATCACGTCCCGCTCACTGTCGACTTGCCCCTCGCCCCTCCTCGCCCCTCATCTCTCGGGTCGACTCGCCCATCGTCCCTCCCTCACTTCCCGTCTCCGTCGACTCGCCCTTCCCCTCCTCGCATCCCCGCGGCGCCCCCCAGGAGCTGAGGTCTTGGCCTGCTTTGCGGGGAGGCGCCGGCGACAGCGGGCGCAATGCTGGTCACGGCGCCACGCCGGGTGGGGGCTGGGAGGGATGAGGGGGGAATGAGGGAGGCTGGAGGAGATGAATGGAGAAAGTAGGCGGATGAGCGAGGAGGAGGAGGAGGAGGAGGAGGGAGGAGGAGGAGGAGGAGGAGGAGGAGGAGGAGGAGGAGGAGGAGGAGGATGGAGGAGGAGGAGGAGGAGGAGGAGGAGGAGGAGGAGGAGGAGGAGGAGGATACCGAACGGGGAACGAGGATCGGGGAGGAGCAGGAGGAGGAAGAGGAGGAGGAGGAGGAGGAGGAGGAGGAGGAGGAGGAGGAGGAGGAGGAGGAGGAGGAGGAGGAGGAGGAGGAGGAGGAGGAGGAGGAGGAGGAGGAGGAGGAGGAGGAGGAGGAGGAGGAGGAGGAGAGGAGGAGGAGGAGGAGTAGGAGGAGGAGGAGGAGGAGGAGGAGGAGGAGGAGGAGAGGAGGAGGAGGAGGAGGAGGAGGAGGAGGAGGAGGAGGAGAGGAGGAGGAGGAGGAGGAGGAGGAGGAGGAGGAGGAGGAGGAGGAGGAGGAGGAGGAGGAGGAGGAGGAGGAGGAGAGGAGAGGGAGGAGGAGGGCGTGGTGGAGGAGCAGGAGGGGAGATGGAGGGAGAGCTGGCGAGGGAGGGAGGAGGAGGGGAGGAGGGTCGGCCAGGACGATGTCTGTCCCCCGGGGAGACTGGGCGCGCAGCAGGCACGTCGTCAGGGCACGGGGCGCACGCCCCGCGGCACGGGGGAGGAGCGCTCCGGCCCTGGCCGACGCGCGCGGTCGCAGCCCGCGCGCCGCAGCTGACGCCGGCTCTGCTTCCCTGACTGAGCTTACAGTGCCGGGCCAGAGGTACGAAGCCTGGAGGAGGAGGAGGAGGAGGAGGAGGAGGAGGAGGAGGAGGAGGAGGAGGAGGAGGGAGGAGGAGGAGGAGGAGGAGGAGGAGGAGGAGGAGGAGGAGGAGGAAGGGCGCGAAGATCGCGCGTCACGCATCGCGGGGCGCCCTGCGCGAAGTTGGGTGACCCAGGGTGGGTGGCATGGAGTGTGGGCCTCCTCCCTTTCCCCCTACAGTGCCGTTTTTAATACATGCTCCGCGTGCGGATCATGTATTAAAATGCAGGGATTTGGGATTAGAAACAGCGATGGGTTCATGCATGAATTTAGTAGTAAGTTAATCATGTATTAAAACCCACTATTTTTCAAAATCCTATGGATTAAAAACTGCCCTGTAGGTCGGGCCTGCCCCTCCACAGGAGGAGCGTTCAGAAACAGTAAAACAAGATAGTCTGGGGACGATGCTTGGATCACTTGCGAGTATGCAAGGGCATGGTTTGACTATTTCCCCACATGTTTCGTGGGGTTCTGGTTTTCTTCACTGCCTCGCCGCACCCGCGTCTCACCTCCTCCTCCTCCTCCTCCTTCTCCTCCTCCTCTCCCTCCTCTTCATTCCTCCCTCACCCACAGCACAGCTTGTCGGGGCTCGCAAAGCGTCGCAGGCGTGGCACTTCCTCGACACCAGAGGGGGGTGCGCTGGGGGTGGGGGCCCTATGCGTTTCGGGCTCGCAAAGCGTGGCAGGCGTGGCACTTCCTCAACACCAGAGGGGGTGCGCCGGGGGTGGGGGCCCTATGCGTTTCGGGCTCGCAAAGCGTCGCAGGCGTGGCACTTCCTCGACACCAGAAGGGGGTGCGCTGGGGGTGGGGGCCTATGCGTTTCGGGCTCACAAAGCGTGGCAGGCGTGGCACTTCCGACACCAGACCTATGCGTTTCGGGCTCGCAAAGCGTGGCAGGCGTGGCACTTCTCGACACCAGAGGGGTGCGCTGGGGGTGGGGGCCCTATGCGTTTCGGGCTCGCAAAGCGTGGCAGGCGTGGCACTTCCTCGACACCAGAGGGGGTGCGCTGGGGGTGGGGGCCCTATGCGTTTCGGGCTCGCAAAGCGTGGCAGGCGTGGCACTTCCTCGACACCAGAGAGGGTGCGCTGGGGGTGGGGGCACTATGCGTTTCGGGCTCGCAAAGCGTGGCAGGCGTGGCACTTTCTCGGCACCAGAGGGGGTGCGCTGGGGGTGGGAGCTCGTATCTTGTCAAGAACTGTGAACACCTTGGCTCCAGCCGGCTCGGCGCGCCTGCGCTCTCACGCAGGCGCATTCTTGTAGTCCTACTTCAGTGCACCGTCCTTCCTGCGCGCGGCAGTTATGCCGCCTAAATTTGCCATGGGCGCTCTGCCGCCTCCGTGTCTGGCGATTAAGAATCAGTATGTGGGGTTCCTCGGTGGCGTTTTCTTTGTTTTTCGTTTAGAATCCCCCTGTAGGGGGACAGGCCCGACCTGAGACCAAGCTTAGCACACTCGGCTCCCCATGCTGCAGCACGCCCTCCCGTCCCTGGCCAGGGCCTCTCGTGGTCGCGCACTGCGGCGCGCGCCCACCGGAGAGTCCTCCTCCTCCTCCTCCTCCTCCTCCTCCTCCTCCTCCTCGTTAGGACCCCGTGCTGCTTGCACGTTGGGAACCGAACGTTCCTCGAGATGCGCATCAACTGTCACCACCCACCAAACCACCCCAACCCAACCCGAAAGCTCAGATTTACCTTCGATTTCCAGTGGGGGGGTGTCGGAAAACATCGAAAAGACACGCGTGGAACCCTTGACCCCCCAACCCGAAATTCGGGTCTTCGGGTTGGGTTGGGATGGTCTGGTCGGTAGTCAGTGCTGTTTGCATGTTGAGAACCGGACGTTCCTCGAGATGCGCATCAACGAATCATGCAACGCGCACAGTCAGTCTGACCTTGCGACTCGCTGTCAGAGGCTTCAGGACATGTGTGCGGCGCAGGGGCGAGACCGTGAGGGTGATAGAGGAGCCCCGCAGCGGATACCCACGAGAATGCCTTTCTGTGGCCGCTTGGAGGGCGGGTCGATCCTCCCCCTCCCCCCCCTGGATGCAGGTGGACGGGTCGAACCCCCCGCCCCCCCCTCCTCCAAAGGGGTGTGGGGTTCGAATCAGGGTCCTTCTGCTCCGCCGTCGTAAACAAAAAACAACGAAGGACGAGCGACGACGACCGACGACGGTCCTCGTCCTCGTTGTCGTCGGTTGCCATATACTGGCGCCCGCCGCCGTCGTCTTTTGTGGACCCCAACGCGGTCCACGATGCACCGAGACTGCCCCAGAGGCCTTATATAGGCCCCGACGACGGCGCAAAAGGCTCCCAAGAGAGCCCCAGAAGCCCCCAAGATGCTTCCAAGAGTTCCGTAGCCATTTTGGCTCAAGGCTCGGGACTCGGCCTGCGTTCCAGCATGCCTGCAGGCCTGGCCCTGCGATGAGTGCGCCTGCCGCGGCCCCCGTCCCAGCCGTGGAGCACGCCGGGGCTCCCGATGGCGATGCCGCCTGGCCGGTCCCTTCGGGGTCATCTGCAGCTGCACTGGGGGACGGGCTCAGCAAGGGGAGCACAGACCCCCAATCGCCCACCGCGAGCGCAGCACTGGCTCGCCGACCGTCGATCCTGCGCGAGGCGGCGGATGAGATGCTGGTGGAGCTCCGCGGGGCGCCGCTGCAGAGCTGCTTCAGCGGCCGCGGCCGGATCTGGAGGAGCTCCGCCGGGGAGCACAGCCACTACGAGCGTACGCAGAAGCGAGATCGCCTCGATTGGTTCATCTCCCACGACTGGGGCACGAGCCGGTGGATGAAGCTGCTGACCCTCGCCGTGTACTTCAACGGCGTCTCAGCGCTCTGCGCCAGCTTCGCCACGTGCATGCTGGTCTTCGCGCTGCAGGTGGCGGGCGTGCTGGCGCAGCGGAAGAAGCCGGAGCCATGCCTGACGGCGGGGGTGGAGTACGAGGAGGTCCACGGCGTCTGGTGTTTCCCCGCTGGCGTCTGCGCCTTCTTCTTCGTCCTCCTCTACTGGCAGGTCTGCCGCGAGCGCGTCTTGCCGCCGGCCTACGCCTTCGTTGACAAGATGTGCATCAACCAGCGGGATCCCAGGGAGAAGGAGCGGGGGGTGTACTCGATCGGCGGCTTCCTCCAGAAGTCGGACTTCATGCTCATGCTTTGTACGCACAGATATTTCTCGCGGATGTGGTGCACCTTCGAGGTAGCCGCGTGGCTGCGGTTCAAGGGCGTTGGCTCGATCGTCTTCCTGCCGCCGAGCGACGCGGTGTTCACTGGCGTCTTCTTCTCCATCGTGCTGCTCACCCACTTTGGCGTCTACGTGGGCACTCACTTCCCCGGCGTGCCGATCAGCGCCTGCGCGAAGCTTATCGCCCTCTGCGCCCCTCTCCCCCTCGTCCACTCGTTGAGGCTGGTGATGCGGGACCTCCTGTCGATGCCAGAGCTGCTGCGCACGCACGACGTTGCCCAGACTCAGTGCTTCTGCTGCCAGCACAAGCACGTAGACCCAGAGACGGGGTCTGCGCTCATGTGCGATCGCGAGAAGGTCTACGACGCGATCGACTGCTGGTACGGGAGCGGCGCGCCGCGCTCATCTCTCGAGATCTTCGAAGCTGCAGGCCCGTCATGCACCGCAGCGGCAAGCCGCGACGGCACGGCGCGCTTCAACGAAGATGTCCAGACCAAGCTCGCAGAGGCGCTCGAGGTCATGGTCGCCCAACCGGTGAGCTACACCTCATGCTTAATCGCCGCCTCACCCTCGATGTGGTACTTCCTCGACCAGGTTACCGCCATTGTCTTGGACGGCCCGTACGACGCTTACTTGACTTTCAAGCGCTTCTTGCGAATCCTCATCATCAGTTTCATCCTCTGGCCGCTCGTGCGCGCCAACACGGTGGCGATGGCGAAGCGCTTCCGGCACCGCGGCGCGGGCCGTTGCGGCGAGCTCGGGCGCTCATTCGCGGCCTTCGGGAGTGGCTATCTTCCGATCTACGCCTGCTACTGGGTGCTCGTCAGTGTCGCCAGTCCTTCCGAGAGCATGGCCATCGAGGTTGTGCTCGTCGTCTTGCTGGTCGTCCGGATCGCCTCCTTGCGGTACCCCTTGTGGTTTCGATTGATGGCTTCACCGAAGGCCGAATTGGACGTTCTGGGGTGAGGGCCTCGCTGGGGGCCGAACGGAGGCGGTCTTCTTGCGCAGAAGAGCAGCCGAATCTTCGCATGCGTCTTCGGTCCCGTGCACGCCCCACGAGCACATGCTTCTGCCCCCTCGGCGAGCAGATCGAGCTTGCACGGCGCCTGGACTGCCGAGGTTGGCGCGAGCAGTGGCCTGCGCATGGCCCGCTCGTGCGGCGCGTGCTTCTGAAGCCTCCGCCCTTCTGGCCGAGGGCCTGCGCCGCCCACGCTTTGCCGGCCCTGCGGTGTGCGTGGAGCGCGTGCCGCTTGCGCTGTGCCGGCGCGTGGCCCGTTCGTCCAGCAGCGCCCGTGCCCCCTTGGCATCGCTCGGACGTGTGTATTTTTTCTCCCGGCGAGGAGCATGGAGGAGCATCCTTGATCCAAGGGCTCCCTCGAGGGCGCGAAGTTATTCGCGCTTCGCGCTTCGCGGTCCTCGTTTCTCCTCCCCCCTCCTCCTCGTCCTCCTTTTCTCCCTTTGGGGGGGCGGCGCGAGAGCGCGAAGTTATTCGCGCTTCGCGCTTCGCGCAGCGCGAAGCGCGAAGTTGGGAGCCCTTGTTGATCAAACAAAAGCACAGGGGATGGACGCCCGAGCGATGGCCAGGCCCTGCTCCCGGCTGCTCGGACGCTCGGGGCGGCGCGTGCGCGGCCGCGGCTCGGCTGCCTGCCGGGCGGCACGATCCGCATCAAGGAGCCGCTTCGCAGTTTCTTTTGGTGTGGCTTGCGATGCGAACGGCACGCGCGCGAGCGAATACACATCTGCACATATACTTTATATTTACATATATTTATATATATAGGAGTCACGGGGATGCTGCTGTGTGAGGCATTCCGTAGTACGTGTGGTATGAGTTCTCGTTGTTGTGTGCCTGGCCTGTGCTTGTTAACCCTGCCCTGCAGACAGAGCCCCATCGCCCTGTCCTGCATGACGATCCCGGCAGGGGTGCAGATCTCTCTGCGGGCGTTTCTTTCCAAGCCAGGGTACACAAGTTCTAGACAATTAGTGGCGAGAGTGGGTGTGGGGACGGGAGATGATGATGGCCTCGTTTCTTCGCCGCCCCTCTTTCAGTACTTTTCTGGGCCCGCCTCACCTCGCTTCCTTTGATTACCTTGCAGGCCAGACCTCACGGTGGGTAGATAAAATACGTAGACATGTGCAGAATCGATTGGGCATTGCCGCTTGAACAGATGCTTGGGCCGTCTTGGTCAGAGTCCCATCGTGGAATGAGATTGTGTACAGTTCGTACAGTTCGGAGGTGCATGCTGTCCCTTTCGTATTCTATTTCATGCGTTCGGGCGCCCTGGCCCATCCCTGCTGAGCCCCCTCGTGTGGGCACTCGCGCGGACACTGCCATCGTCTCAACTCGCCGTCTGCCCATGTGCCTCTTGGGATCCAGGCTGCTTTGCTTTCTCACCTCGCCTTCGCCTCTGGCGAACGATCCTCTGACCACCCCGCCGGTTGAAGGCGGAAGGCGTATTTTTAGTGTTGCAGTAAGCGCATTTTTTCGTCCGTCGGCGGTGGCAGGCTGCAGTTTGGGGGGGATGTAGGAAGAGACTGGAAACAAGGCGCTTGCGAAGACCGCCGAGGTACGACGCACCATGCATAAGTTGTTGTTGAGTTTGCACGGCGCGCCGCAGTGCCGCATGCAGAACAGTATGCTGATGATGATGATGATGATGGTGATAGTGTTGTTGATGATTGTTGATGGTGATGGTGGGGTTGATGGTGAGGGTGATGGACAGGGTCGCTGCGAGGACGGCTGGCGGCTGCAGGATGTGACCTCTTCCGATGATCTACATATTTGGAAGGCCTTACGACATGTGATCATCCGGAGAGCTTAGTGCATGATGCACCCGAGACCTGCTTTCCCCGCCCTTTTTCCCTGTATATTATGATTTGCATTCATGGAATGCGGATCCTGCTGATAACACTGGAAATTTGATGCTGGGGGTCGATGAACAGCTGCACGACTGCACATCGGCTGCTAGAACAACAACTTATAATACCAACGAAAGAAGCCCAGCGGCAAGGGTTCAGGGGTCGACAGTCGAGGAGACGACACGACGGAGGGCGCAGGGGGTGGCGGGTCATGGGGTGGGGGAGGGAGGATGGGGGGCGCGCGCCCGCGCGCGCGCCCTCAGCGCCAGCCGGGGCCCGCGCAGCCCCTGGCAGGCGGCCAGTGGTGGTCAGACAGCCGCGCCAGCGGCGCGCTAGCCCCAGCCGCAGACGGGCACGGCGCCCGGCGCCAGGGCGCGCAGCACCGCCGCGGCCGCGGCCGCGACGGCCTCCGCGCCGGGCTCGTCCTGCGAGCCGCTGTGCAACACAGTTGAGCTGAACGCCCAATGCCGCTTGAGCTGTTCGGCGACAGCCCTCTCGTTTTGGCGAGTAGCGCTTTCATTACGATGGGCAAGTGGTACTAGTAACTCGTGGCCAGCACTACCCCCCTGAAGCCTAGATGAATATAGGTCAGATGGGACCCCTGATCTTTTTGCATTCCAAGTCCTCACGATCTGCCTCTTGAGTTCTGGATGAGCTCTTGAGGTCTGGACGATCGTCTGGTAGCGATCTTTCTCAAACAGGTCGCATCGGAGGAGAAAAAAAAGAAAAAAAAGATGCTTCCAAGAGTGTTTCAAGAGGCCCCCCAGGAGGGTCCAAAAACGGGCGTTGCTTTGACGCCAAGGCTCCCGCCCCCATAAGGCTCATTGACGGACTCAGCTTTGACGCCAAGGCTCCCAAGAGCTCCACGGGACGGGAAAGCCCTTTCTAGGCGAGTCGGTGACGAAAGAAGCTCTGAACGCCAAGGCCCACAAGAGCGAACAGTGACTTAGAAAACTCTTAACACCGAGGCTCCCCAGAGCGAACGGTTACGTGAACACGTTCTCAACGCCAAGGCTCCAAGGAGCGAGCGGTGTCATGAGCCCTCTCGGGCAAATCCATAAGACGCGAGAAGTAAACAAGTTAGAACAGTAGTTTACAGAAACGGTTTCTGGAGACTACCGTTCAGACCTTTTTACTTGTTTCAAGAATTACTGCTAATTTTTCGGAATCATTTGGTTTGTCGTTCTAAACGCAAAAGCGTTTTAACCATTGTTCTTGTCAGACCTTGCCGAAGCCCTGCCAGACAGCTTTTGACAGTCTACCAAACCTCGACGTGTCAGCGGGCACGGTTGCGGATCAGATTCCCCGAGGCCTTTGACGATTTCTTTGAGTTGGATAGAGAGTTCCCCCCTTCACTTCTCTCCTCCTTCTCCACTCGCGTGCATCGTGGGGCGTGGGACGAGTAGAAGGAGAAGGAATAGGAGGGGGAGGAGGCAAGGATGCGAGGAGGAGGGAGAAGGGATGGAGGAGGAGGGGAATGGGAGGAACGACGAGGAAGGAGAGTGACGTAGGAGGCATGAGGAGGGGGAGGGGGAGGGAGACCGAATGTCCAACAAACGCGAATTCTTCGGAACAAACATCGTGTTTTCAACATTTCCATGGAAAACTGCTAAACGGGCCTCTCGCGCCGAACGCCGAAATCCTTCGCACGCCCTTGCGCGCGTGCTGGGGGGACACGATCCGTATCAAATAATACCATGCGGGCCACTCGCGCGCCGGCCGCGTCCCAACGGGCCAGAGGCGTGCTAAGATCTCCGGTAACTGGTAAACAGTATTTCTGGTTCGCGCGCGCGGGGCGGCCCCTGGGGGTCCCTGGATCAAAAGTACCCCGAGAGGAGCCCGAGAGGAGCCCCGGACACGCCTGGGACACTCCCCCAGATCCTCCAGGATCGCCCCAAGAGGGCCCCAAGAGGCCCCCAACACAATCCAAGAGAGGTCCGAGACGTCCGAAGATCGCTCCACGGCGCCCAAGATGGCCTCCAGACTGCCCAAGAGGTCTCCAAGATGACCCAACAAGCCTCCAAGATGCCCCAAGAGGCCTCCAGGAGCACTCCCAAGAGGGCCCCAAGAGGCAAACAACTGTGTTTTTCCTTTGGTTTTGGACAGATTTGGGCGTTTTAATCTTTTCGGTTCCCCGACGCCCCTAAACGGCTCAAGAGGCCTCCAAGATCGCCCCAAGAGGGCCCAAGAGGCCTTCAAAAGGGCCCCAAGACGGCCCAAGACGGCTCCAAGACGGCCCCAGAGGCCTTCCAAGACGGCCCAAGAGGGCCCCAAGAACGCCCCCAACACGGTCCAAGAGAGGTCCGAGACGCCCGAAGATCGCTCCACGACGCCCAAGATGGCCTCCGGACGGCCCAAGACGTCTCCAAGATGGCCCAAGAAGCCTCCAAGATGCCCCAAGAGGCCTCCAAGAGAACTCTCAAGAGGGCCCCAAGAGGCAAAAAACTGTGTTTTTCTTTTGGTTTTGGGCAGATTTGGGCGTTTTAATCTTTTCGGTTCCCCGACGCCCCTAAACGGCTCAAGAGGCCTCCAAGATCGCCCCAAGAGGGCCCAAGAGGCCCCCAGGAGCGCCCCAAGACGGCCCAAGACGGCCCCAGAGGCCTCCAGGACGGCCCAAGAGGGCCCCAAGAACGCCCCCAACACGGTCCAAGAGAGGTCCGAGACGCCCGAATATCGCTCCACGACGCCAAAGATGGCCTCCAGACGGCCCAAGAGGTCTCCAAGATGACCCAACAAGCCTCCAAGATGCCCCAAGAGGCCTCCAGGCCCCAAGAGGCAAAAAACTGTGTTTTTCCTTTGGTTTTGGACAGATTTAGGCGTTTCAACCTTTTCGGGTCCCCGATGCTCCTAAACGGCTCAAGAGGCCTCCAAGATCGCCCCAAGAGGGCCCAAGAGGCCCCCAAGAGGGCTCCAAGATGGCCCAAGACGGCTCCAAGACGGCCCACGAGGCCTCCAAGACGGCCCAAGAGGGCCCCAAGAACGCTTCAAGAACGCCCCAAGAGGGGTTTCACGAAACAGAATTTCGAGCTCTCGGCCCTTAGAGGCCCCCAGGAGGCCCCAAGACGCCCCCAAAGGCCCCAAGAGGCCCCAAGAGGCCCTCAAGAGGCCTCAAGAGCCAAAAGGCCCTCTGGAGGCCTCCAAAAAACCCTCAGGAGGCCCGACGCCTCCAAGACTCCAGCCAGACGCGACTTGGGAAACGCGGGTCGGGGTGGTCCTCCTCCCCCGCGTTCGGCTCTCCACGACGACGACGACGCCGGCGGGCGGCGGCGGCGGGCGGCGGCGGCGGCGACGACGACGACGACAAAGGCGCTCCTCATCGCTCCTCATCCCCCTCCTCCTTCCTCCTCCTCCTCCTCCTCCGCTTCCTCCTCCTCCTCCTCCTCGTCGTCCTCCTCGTCGTCGTCCTCCTCCTCCTCCTCCTCCTCCTCCTCTGGTCCGATTAGAAAAGAGATGGTAAGAGAAACGCCACAAGAAAGTGTTCCTTCACGCCCGTGTCCGCAACGCCAGAGGACATCAGGACGATAACAGAGCCAATGTTAGCATTCAAAGCCCGCCAACCTCCGACACGAGGGTTCCCCTATCGCATAAGATGTCTCTTCCCCCGGCTCGAACGGCCCCACAGCGGGATACGACGGGTAACACGCCCCCACGATGGCACCAAATCCGTCAAAGAACTGCAAACACCTATAAGCCCCATGACAAAAAACAATAACAAATTTATCGACAACTACACAGCTCCCGACGCCGCAGTTTCACACTGCAAACGACCACTCGGACAGGCGACCACGGTGCGACATTATGGGCCGGCGGAATGAGCGAAGTGATTAAATAATACCATGCGGGCCTTTCGCGCGCCGGCCGCGTGCGCATGTCGAACTCTTTCCAAAACTTCATCTCCGACGCGAGGACGCCGCCATCGTCGTCGGCGTGATCAGCATCGGCGTCGTCACTGGCCGCGCCGTCGTCGTTGTCAACACCGTAGCTAGCATGGCTACTATCATCATCGTGTTTACCGTTGTCGACGTTGCCATGATACCGCGCCCGCCCAAGACGCCGACTCGCACTGAAGTGCCCGCTGGGATGCGCCCAGCGGTCAGCGCCACCGCAGCCGCGTCGGTCGCGCAAAACGAGCTGGCAGCTGCGCGTGCGTGCTTGGGTCGGCGCGGCCGCAGAGATGCACCAGCCAACGCCAAGCAGTCACCGCAATCGCCGCCGCACGGGCTTTTGCAGACCAAGTTGCGGGTGGGTGTGTGTGTGTGTGGGATTTTTCCAAAAAGCATAGGATATGTCAATTCTTTTGTGAAAACCAACGGCGCAACATAATTTGCACCACATAGTATGCACAACGTATATTACACCACCTAGATTGTACCACTTAGACTGCGCCACATAGCTTGCACAACCTATTTATAGAAAAGCGCAAATTGCACCCCATCGATCACACAACACACACTGCGCGACATCCAGTGCACAATCAATGTATATGAATGTGTGTATATATATATATATATATATGTATTTGTCGCTCCACGTAGACTGCACCACGCATATCGAGTACAGCGTATGTTGCTACAGACACATCGGTTGGGGTCCACGCTGGCTAACATTTTGTTCCAGGGCGCCGAACCTTGTATCAGGCCGCAAGGTCCAAGGTGGTAGAATAATAAAAAAAGGTAGTTTGAGAGGGGCGCATGTTTACCAACAGCGTCAAAATTGCTTCATGTTCCAAAAGTTAATACATCACATTCGTAGCTTGCAATCGCTACTCCATCGTAGGCCTCCGTCGGAGCAAACTTGTACGTAACATCGATGCATAATGAATCAAACACACATGCCAATTGTCGCGGGGCTAAGACCGCCCGACAAAGAAGCGGGTTCATATGTGCACGGTTCAGTTGTGCCGCGTTTGGTTATTGTCTCGACGTGGGTGAAATGAATGTGGTGGATCGGTTTCCATCGAGACACTGCTGGATCGAATGAAATCAATCGAGCATGCCGTAACATGAAAGCCGTCGGGGGCCCTCAAATCAGTGCAGCGAAATCTCCATATCCCTCGCGTTCAGTGTGGTGGAGGGGGAATCGCTTGACTTCGTGAGTTCACGCTGGCATCAAGGACCAATCTTTGCGTGAACTCCGTCTGTCCCCCTCTGCCCGCGTGGTATTTGATCCCACCGACCTCTCGTTT